GTCGGGGGAGTCGGAATCTGGGCGCTTCCAGCTGGGCCTGGCCAGAGCAGCCACCACCAGCACTCCAAAAATGAGGATGAGGAGCCCCATGGTGTTGGCAAACACAGCCTCAGCCGGCAGGAGCTTGTAGTCCATAGTCCCGTTCTTCCTGGAGCAGGGAAGAGAGGCTGGGAATGTTCTGGATGTTCCCAAAACCCCCAGCCCCAAACCTTGCAGGGAAGTGTGCAGGGAGCTACACACCTGAGGAAGTGCTCAGTTACCTTTTCTCTGCACTGGTCACTCCCAAATCCAGTCCAAATCCACATCCTGAGCACCCCCCACCCCTGTGAGGGCTCTTCCCAAACCCCCCTTTCCCTGTGAGGGCTCTTCCCAAGCCCCTCTCCCCCGACTCTCACAGGCTGAAGAAAAGCTTCTCGTTGATTCCCGACGCGCAGGAAGCCACAGACAACATGAGGATGGCGGAGCCAAAGAAAACATGGATGGGCTTGTAGAGTGCTCGGAGCCAGGCAGGAGCCCAGGGAAGCAGGAACGCTCCAAAACCTGCTGCCCACTGTGGGAAGAGAAGGTGAGGGCAGAAAACTTGGGATGCTGGAGGGATTGGGGGATCCAGGAGGGGTTCTCACCTGGCAGGAGAAGAGCAGGACAGTGGCCAGCCCCATCCAGCTGTGCAGTGAGTACATGTTGGGCGTCCCTTGGGAATTATGGAAGCGGAACACGGCCGCCAGCCCCAGCACGGTCAGGACGAACGCTCCCAAAGCCAAGCTGCCGTGCAGCACCTTCCAGGGAAGCTTGGGGCCGTTCCAGGTGTTGGGAATGCGGTAAACCAGGGCGGCTGTGAGGGGAGGAAAAAAGTCAGGAAGGAGCCGTGCTGGGATCCCCGCGCTCCCTGTGCTCACCTGCGCCATAGAGTACCACCAATCCCGTCACCATCAGCACTGGGTGCCAGTTGAATGTCCGGGAGCTGCCATCCAGGGAAAAGCCCCCGCGCCAGTGCTGGCACCAGCTGCCCACCATGGCCACGCAGAGCAGTCCCAGCGTTCCCAGGAAGGCGCAGAAAGGCAGGAAGGGCACATCCAGCATGGCTGTGGGGTGGTGGTGGCACCTGTGGGTGAGTGAGGAGCTGGTTCATGCTCCGGATGCGGTGCCGGGGAGGAGCCACGGAAAGGGGAACTGGGAGCCCAAACAGAGTGTGGGGGGGCAGCTGTTTCCCAGATGGGAAAGGTGACAGGGATGGAGCTGCTTCCCAGCCAAGGATGGTGATCCAGCTGCTTCCCAGCCTGGAAATGGTAGCAGGGATGGATCCAGGATGGTGGCAGCTGGGGATGACTGAGGCGCCTTTTGGGTCTCTCCGACATCCCCAGGAATGGAGATGTCCTTTCCTTCAATGGAAAGGGGAACTGGGAACCCTGAGGGGCTGACCAGGGTCCAGCTGCACCCGGGACTGGGCAGGAGGCCAGAGATGGAACAGGACATGCAGAGCCAAATTCCCGGGCACGGCACTCCAGGGAATGGAATGGCAGCGACGGGCTCCCGGTGTCACCTGTCATGGTCCCCCTGGCAGGACCCGAGCGCTCTCATTTGCATGTGATTTGCATGTGCCCCCAGAAATGGGTATTTCTGTCCCCTCCGGGCTCGGGGGATGTCCCCACACCTCAAATCAGCTGCCTCAGGAGACACAGAGACAGGAAAGGGCTGGAGACACGCGACCCTATGGTTCCCCAAAAACTGGGACACAAAGACTCACGGATCTCCCAAATCTGGGGTACTCGGTGCCATGGCTCCCTGAAATCTGGGAACACATGGCTCCACAGCCTCCCCCCCAAACCTGGGGCTGCCCTGGGCCTGAGGACACAGCGCCCGGCCCTGACACCACCCAAAACCCAGATCACGAGGTGCCTCGGCCCCTCCCAACCCCGGAGCCGCCCCTCGGCGCTCCCCACCCCGGGGCTGTACCTGGGCCCCACCGCCCCCTCCTCGTCACTGGGCGCCGCCATCTTGGCGAGAGCCGCTCTGCCTGCTCATCTCTATGGTTTTCCCGGCCACCCCAATGTGCAGCCACCGAGGGGAGCGGCGGCCAGAGCGGCCCCTGCGGGTCCTCCAGCCCTCACTTCCGCCCTCACTTCCGGCTCCGGCGGCCGTTTCCATGGGGACCAAGATGGCGGCGGCGGGTGAGCGCCCGGGGCGGGGGGCACGGCGGAGACCCACCGGGACCTCTGGGACCGGGAGCTCCGGACCCAGGGGCGTTTGGGCGTATCGGGCTGGCGACCCCGGGAGTGGGAAGGGAGCCAGGGCCAGGAGGAGAGGGCGGCGAGAGGGGGGCCGGGGGACTCCGCAGTGGTGGCTGTGAGAAGGGGCGGAGTGACGCGGGGTCTGGAGGGGCAGAGAGTGATCCCTTAATCCTCATATCCAGCTCTTCCCGCCCCCCCCCCCCTTATTTCCAGCCCTTTTACCCCCCTTTCTAGACATTTTCTGTCCCTTGCCAGCCCCTTTTCCCGCGTCCACCACCATGTCTCCCCCTCAGGGAATTCAGCCCCCAGCACAGCCCTTTTCCTGCCAGGACACGGGGGATCCCTGTGCCCTCCGTCCCGCTCCAACCAGGATGATCCCAGAGGGGGCTGTTCCCGTGGGATATGAGTCCCACGAGGGCTGTACCTGCTCCCGTGTCCAGAAATTCCCGTCTGTCTCCTCACTCGTCTCCCTGTGCCCAGAGTGGGACATGCCCAAACGTGCTCAGAACTGCCCATGAGCTGGGAACAGCCAGGAATAACTGGCTTGGACACTGCTTCTTGGGTCTGCACGTCTCCCTCGTCCCTGGATTTCCTCATGGGAATTGGGCTGGATTTCAGGGGGAAGGGAGACACCAAACTGGAGAGGAGAGAGGGGGCACAGCTCACTGGGTTTTCCTGGTTTCTGGAATCCATCCCAATCCCTGTGCTCCCCCCCCAGGTCTGGGATGTCGGGAGAGGCCCTGCTGAGCCCCCCCAGTGCCATGATCCATTGGGAATGCCGGGGCTGAGGGCTTCAAGCCCCAGGAAGGAGGATGCTCCAGCCCAGCAACTACAGCCTGGTGCTGTTCCTGCAGTTCCTGCTGCTTTCCTACGACCTCTTCGTGAATTCCTTCTCGGAGCTGCTCCGCACGGCTCCGGCCGTGCAGCTCGTCCTCTTCATGTGAGTGTGGGGAAGGTGGGGCAGCAGATCCAGGAGATCCAGGACCCCACAATTCCTCTGTTTTCCCGGCAGCATCCAGGACATCGCCATCGTCTTCAATGTCATCATCGTCTTCCTCATGTTCTTCAACACCTACGTTTTCCAGGCGGGATTGGTCAACTTGCTCTTCCATAAATTCAAGGGGACCATCCTGCTCTCCGCAGCCTACCTGGCGCTCAGCATCTCCTTCCATGTCTGGATTATGGTAGGATGGGGTGGGCACAGCTGCTGGATTCACCCAAGGGATTTTTCCATGACCCCCAGCTTCCCACAGTCCTTTCTCACGTCTCCCCCTGGAAGGTGCCCCATGGAAGATGTCCCATTCCTAATCCTGTGGCTGGCATTAGGCTGGGAGGGTCCTGCCCAATCCCAGCCCCATCCCAGCTTGTTCCCTAAGGGCCGTGACCCATCAGAAAATCCTCTTTCCTCAGGGAAAGCCTGTGCTAGCAGCTCCTGGTTTTTCTGGGATTAATCCCTTTACCTGGGACAGCTCCCTCCATTCCCACAGCTCCGAGGGCTGTCCAGCCTCCTGGATCTGTCCTGGCGGCACCTTCCCCTTTTCTTTCCCAAATAAACTCCTTCCTAGCTCTTTCCCAATGGAGCAGTTCCCATTCCCTGGACACCTCCTGAAGTTCCCTCCATCCTGCTGCCCTGTAGCATGGGGAATGTTTTTGGGGGTCAGGAGCCACAGCAGCTGCTCCAGTGCTGCCCACGCTGTCCGGGAAGGGGATTTGCAGGGATTTGCAGGGATCTGCAGTCTGAAGCCGGAATAGGTCCGGGCTCAATGCCTAAATCCCCTGAGCTGCTTAACCTTTGGGGTAGGGGGCTTCCCAACCTTTTCCAGGTGTTACTCCTGGCTTGGTGTCCCTCTGTCCTGCCCAGAGCCTTTGGAATGGGGAGAGGGGTCTGGGAGGGCTCAACGAAACTGCTCCAGGGGTTATTCCCAGTTTTCCACCCCCCTCAGAACCTGCGCTGGCGTGACTCTGGCCGCTTCATCTGGACTGAAGGTCTCCAGACCCTGTTTGTTTTCCAGAGGCTGGGTAAGGACTCCCAGGATCAGGGTGGGATCCTGCATCTTTTGGGGGTGCAGGGGGCCCTCTCTCATCCCAAAATTCCCTGCAGCGGCCGTACTCTACTGCTACTTCTACAAGCGGACAGCTGTGCACCTGGGAGACCCCCTCTTCTACCAGGATTCACTCTGGCTCCGCAAGGAATTTGCCCATTTCCGTGGCTGACGGATCCCCAGAATCCCCTGGAGTCTCCTTGCACTCCACAGGCTCTGTCGGGGTTGGTTCCAGCTCATCCTTTCTCTGGGGACCAGCCCTTGGGATTCTGAGAGTCAGCAGGAGACTCGTGGGGCGTCCCTGCATTTCAGGGCGACAGCCTTGGTTGGGACTGGAATGTTTTTGGAAACCCTAAAGAAATAAATTGGATGTGTTTTCCAGAGGCTGCCGGGTGTTTGTGCCCACCCGGTGTCACGGCCGCACTCCCAAAGGCCTTACATTTGTAACCCAGCTCAGCGCTGCGCTTGTAGCCGCAAAACGGGGATATTCCCGTATTCCAGTGTGGGATTCTTATCCCAATAGCTACGAGGGGGCGTGGTGTGGAGGGACGGGGACTCGAACCCGCGGCGTCAGCGACCGCTCCTCCAACCGGAGAGAGGCGCGGGAAGAGCGGCGGGGCGCGCGCCGCCAAACCATCAAGAGGGGAGGGAGATAGAGCGGCTCCGCCCTCGCGCGCCCGCGCCCTCAGCGCCCCCGCGCGGGCGAGCGCGGCGGCGGCGGTGGTTCCCATGGAGATGGAAGATGGCGCCAAGGGGTGGGAGCGGGACCGGGGGGGCGAAACGGCGGATACCGGAGGATATAGGGAGTACCGGGAGGAATCCGGGCTGGGAGCGGCGTTGGGAACGGGGCTGGGGGGCGGCCAAGGCGCTGCGGGGCTCCGCGGGCCATGCCCACCCCGTGCCCCCCCTCATGGCCGCCCCGTTTCCCCTCAGGCCGCCATCGCTCTTCGGCTCCGCTGCAGGTCCTGCTCTTCCTCAACGGCTGGTACTGCGCCACATATTTTCTCCTGGAAGCGTTCGTGTTCGTGTACAAAGGTGAGTCTTTCCCTCCAGAACTCTTCCCGATCCCGCCGCGATGGGCAGGAATGTGGTGCTGAGGGCGGTGCTTTTCCTGCAGTGCTGCTCCTGCCCTATCCCGTCTCCAACTTGGTGCTGGACATAGTGCTGCTCCTCCTCTACCTCGGCATTGAGGCCACACGCATCTTCTTCGGTGAGTCCCCCCGAGTTCCAGAGGCTCCACAGGGAGTGCGGAGTCCTGGGACACCCTCAAAGAGCGTCCCTGGATGTTCAGGTTGGATGGGGCACAGAGTAACCTGGGCTAGTGGAAGGTATCCCTGCCCAGGGGAACGGGACATTTAACTTTCCTCCCCACCTAAAACCCTCTATGATTTCCATGATCTGATCCCAACTCTGTGTTCCACAGGCTCCAAGGGGAACCTGTGCCAGCGGAAGGTGCCGCTGTCCCTCAGCCTGGCACTTACAGTGCCGGCAGCTGTGCTGGCCGTGTACTACCTGCTGCTCCAGACATATTCCCTGCGCCTGGAAGCGTTCCTGAGTGCCATCCTGCTCCTCTTCTATGGCCTGGAGCTGCTCCTGGGCTTCCTGGCACTGCTCTCCTTCTCCAGGTGCCGCATCCTGGGAACTGGGGGACCCAGCACAGGAGCTGCCAGGTTGGTGTCCACACATCCCTGTCTCTGTCCTTTTCCACAGCACGGATCCCTACTGAGGGCACAGCCCAGGGACACAGGGAAGCATCACCTGTACCAGCTCCACTTTCCAACCCTGGGAAGGGGGATGATCCCACCTTTCCCACCTGCTGCCACCTGGACATATCCCTCCCACGTTTGCTGCTTCTACATGGACATATCTCCCATTTTTCCTGCTTCCCACTTCACCAGAGACCTGCTGCCACAGGGATTCGTCCCTCCCTTTTCCCACTTCCCACTTCACTCACTACTCCCTGGACACATCCCTCCCACCTTTCCCACTCTACACTCCACTTGGACTCCTCAGAGCCTGAGCCAGCTCAAGGTATGAAGAATCCTTTTTTTTGTTCCCTATGACTTTCCAGAATAATTCACTATTTTCCAATAAATATTTATTTTTACCCAGAGCCCAGGAATGTGGGTCCCCCCAGGAATGCTCAGGTGCTTCCAGCACCTCAGAGCTGGTTTGGGAAGCACAGGAGCCCATTGGAGGAGGAAGAGGGTGAGGGATAACAGGTGCAGAGCCCTCCCCAAATCCCTCCCATTCCCTCATTATCCCAAATCCCACTGTAGGAAGGCAACAGGAGCACTGTATAAAAGACTGACAACGTCATCCGAGTTTATTACACAATTCCAACCTATCCAAAGACAAATCTAATCACTGCGAGCAGGAGGGGCGGCGCCTCGCCGGGGCTTCCAGGGATTTGCTCTGCAATTTGGGGGAATCTTTTTCCCCACTCCACTATTTGGAAAGAAACTAAAAATCTGTGGCGGTAAGTAAAAAAAAACCCGGAGCTCTCCCGCCGTGTGCTCCCACCTCGTGGGGCTTGGGAAAATTGGGGTGGCTTTTCCTGAATTTGTGTTATTTCAACTTAAAAAGACTTCCAGGGCCTGGGTTTTCCCACCTGGGCATGATTCCAGCCCTGGAAGTCACCCAGTGTGTCCCGGCTTATCCCGACCCTCCTGGGCTCTCCCTCTCCTTCTTGGGATCCCAAGGGGACATGAGAGGGTCACAGCCTGCCCTGCCTCTTCCGCTTCCTCTAAAACAAGGAAGGCTCTGCGGGAGAGGCCAGAGCTGCCGTTTGGGTGGGAATGCTGCTGTGGGGAATGTCAGGATAGAGAGGGTGACCCCCAGCCCAGCTCCAGCCCCTTCTTCCCAGCTCCTGGAGGGTGAAGGGGCAAAGGAGGAGCGTGGCACAGTGTCCTGCTAGGGTGATGGGGATGGGAGTGTCCCCAGGCAATCCAGAGGATGGCACATGACTCCTGATGCCGGGATTAGGAGCTGTGCATCTCCAAGCCCCCAAGCTGCACAGGGAGGGCTCCATCCCCTCCGTTCCTCCCCCCAGACTGGGAAGGGCTCACAAACCTCCCTCCATGGAATAAAAGCACCATTTCTCTTTGGGTCCAAGTATCCACAGAGCGGAGCGGGATGGCCCCGGGAAGCAGCAGCAGTGGTGGGGGGGGGATTCCCAAGGCCACGAGGTGCAGGCGGGGGTCCCGCCCGGAGGGGGCTGGGGGTGGTGGGGAAGGGACCGGGATGGGGCAGAGCGGCCTCGGGCACGGCGTCCTGGTCGAGGTGAGGAGATACGAGTCCATTAAAAACCACTTCCTGCCAAATTCCTGCCGGAAGAGAGGAGAGGAATGGTCGGAGCGCCCTTCCTTTATCCCTCACACTTCCGGGGGATTCCTGAGCCTCCCACCTGTCTCAGTGGTGCCGGTCCCTGTCTCTGTCCCTGTCCCGATGCCGCTCATGCTCCCGGCTCCGCTCCTGGAAATAATCCTCATGCCGATCGTCGCTGTGGAGCAGATCCCGGTGCCGCCGGCTGCTCTCACGGGACCGGCTGGGAGAGCGCTCCCGGGATCGGTGTCTTTTCCTTTGGGAAAAGAGGAGACAAAACCCAAAGAGTGACTTTTAGTCGCTCACCTGCGGGGAGGATCACGTTCTCTGGATCCAGGGGGATACCTGGAGCTGCTGCTGGAGCTGCTGCTGTAGGATTTGGCCTCAATTCCATGCAGGCAATCCTTGAGGGAAGAGAGGAGGACGCGGCACCGCTCATCGCTGGCCACGCGTGACTGCTTGATGACAGCAATGGCCGTGAGCAGCGTCTCGATGGCGTTGCTGTAATCCCCTGGGGGAGCGGAGCAGGGGGTCAGGAGCAGGAATCCATCCCGGGATGGGGGGACATGAGGGACACGGGGAAGTACCTGCACTGGCGCCGGACACCGCCTTGGAAATGGCGCTGCTGGAGATGGCGCGGTTGCGGTTCATGATCTCCTCAAACTCGCCTTCGCTCACGGCCGGGATCGGCGGGCCCAGCTCCCGGCTGTTGGCACAGAGCGAACCGGGAGTCAGCGGGATCCTCCCCGAGCATCCCACCCCCATTCCTGCCCGGCTCACCTGCTGTGGTTGTAGGGAGCCATGGCCTTGCCGTAGGTGTCCGGAGGGGGTCCCAGGGCGGCGGTGGGCGGCGGGAAGAAGGCGGGATTGAGGTGCAGGGCAGGGGGCACAGCTCCCGGCGGGGGCACAGCCAGGGGCGGGGGCAGCCGGGGCGGCGGTGGCAGCAGATGCTGGTAGGGAATTCCGGGAGGAGGTGGAGGGACTCCAAAAGCGGAGGAGAGAGGAGGTGGGGGGGGCATGGGAGGGGGGGGCAGCCCCATGAGGGGCAGCGCAGGGGGGCGGCTGAAGAAGGGCAGGACTGAGGGAGGCTTCTCCATGCGGGCAGGGGGCAGCGCGTTCTCTGTCGGTGTCGCCCGGCCGTCCACTGCATCCATGGAATCTCGGGAGTGGGCCCGTGGTGGCACACCTGGAAGTGGCACAGGGAAAACAGCTGTGAGGTGCAGCTGGAGGGTGTCCAGGTCTCTGAGACCTCCTCCTCCTCCTCCCACCCCTGGAGGGCTGGAGGTGCCCAGAGGGAGATCCAACCGGCCACACATATCCTCCGCTTCCATGTGTTTTTCTGTATGGTGCCCTGGGGACAGGCAGGTCACAGGGACAGGAGCCAAAAGCCACAAGGAATGGTGAGAGATTCCCCAAAGGCATCCAAAGACCCGGAGAGCCTGAGATCCACACATGGATTTGGAGAGGCCCAAGCATGGAGGAATACAAGGGGACAGAACCCAAGTGCTGACAGCAACAGAGCTCCTGCCAGAGGAAGGAAAACTCAGCATTCCAAGGGGGACAAGAAGCCTTGCTCTATCCAAAGAGACTTTGAGGATGAGACAGAAGGGGTGTGGCAGGAGCCACGGCTCCCAGCGGTGCCAAAGGGTGCATGGGAGCTCCGCTGTGCCCTGGGGGCAGCCGGAACTTGGCCCAGGGAACACTCCCTGCTCCACCTAAACTTCAAGGCAAGTCGGGACACAGCCTAAGCACCAAGCAGCTGATTCCCTCAGGCACCAGAGCTGAAGGAAGGGAGCGAAGCAGTTCTGCTGGGAAAGGGGAGTTTTCCTTGCATAAAACATGCCAAGGGATCTACAATGACTAGAGCTGGCCAAGACCTCCTCGGACACGCTCCTGCCAGGACAATCCCTGCGGATCCCATCGCATCGCTGCGGAGTGAGGCCAGGACCACCTATCGCCATTGAGGGATGCCCACGGCCAGGCCCCAGCTGGAATATTCCTCCAGTGTTGGGCACCTTACCTCCGCAGGGATGGAAAAATTCTGGAGCAGATCCAGAGAGGAGCTACTAATAGATATGGAGGGTCTTAGCTATGCTGAGAGCCTGAAGAGCTTAAGCCCATTCAGTTTGGAGAGGAGGAGGAGGAGGCTACGAGGGATCTTCGCAGTGTGGGAGCACCTAAAAGGGGATCATAAAGACTCGGGTCAGGAGCTAATCCAGCTCAAGAATGGGAAAAACAACCCCCAGACGCTCCTGGCAGGGTCTCCCCCCATCCCGAGGGCTCGCTGGGCTGGGCCTGGCAGCTGATCCAGGGGAGTTTCGGGATGTGTGTGAGGTGGAACCCCCCAGCCCGTGTCACACCGGCGCCGCACTCACGTTTGCGAGCCTGAGCCTCGAACTGCGACAGGTTCTGCCGGGTCGCCAGCCTCACCTCCACCTTGTCTCCGTTCAGGATCTTTCCGGGAAGCAGCTCCAGGAGTTTATGGACCGAGTTCTCAGAGGCGACCACCACCTCCGCATACCTGTGCGGGAGAGAGGGAGGTTGAGCCCTGAACCCACTGCAGAGATCCCCCAGACCCTCCTCCTGATCCCCCCATCCCACTGTTCCACGCCCCCTCCTTACTTTTCCATGCTATTTGGGATCTTCCATGAATTCCCTGTGCCAGGCAGGAACAGCGCTGGCTGCTCCCTCACCCTCCACAAAACAACGGATGTGGCAGTGAGGGCCTGGCTCCCACCATTCCCACCTGAAATTCCATTGGCTCTCACCCCTTGGATTGGCCATTGGCTCGGTTCTCCGCGAATTTCAGCTCCACCACGTCGTAGACTCCGACAGAGCGGATGGTCTGGATCAGCTGCTGGTCAGTTGTCCACTGAGGGCATAGGGAACAGGCTGGTGTCCATGTCAGTCCCCAGTGTCCCCCACCCACCTAAGGAATGTCACCCCCAGACTCCCTCAGGGAGCTTAAAATCCTCTGGAACAAGCCTTGGGAATGGATAACAGAGACAAGTTCTCCAGACAAGACAGGGCCTTCCCAAAATTGTCCCTGCATCCATGAATAGGAGAAGGCGACTCAGGAGCAGCACCCCAAAGTCACAGCTTCAAAGGGACACCGGTGGATACCCCATCCCGGAAGCTCCTCAGGGATACAAATCCCTTTTCCTTGAGGGTCACAAAGCCAAGCCTAGCTCACAATCCAGCCCAGGACACCAGCTCAGGATTGAGGAGGAACAGGCCCCTCAAAATCCCTGCCACTCCCCTAGAGAGCCCAGCAGCCTCTCAGAGGTTCCCCAGGAATCCCAAATTTCCCAGGAAGATGAACTCACCCAGGAGAAGCTCCCAACGTAGACGGCGGCCCTCTTGTTCCGGAGTCCACTGTAGGTGTACAGGATGGCCGGGGGTTTGCTGTTGGGCTTGGGAGACGGCTCCTGACGGATCTCTGGAGGTGCTTCCGAGCTGCTGGAACGCTTTTCCTGGGGCTGGGAGCTGGCTGCTAACACGTCGTCGTAGAGATCCATCTGGTCAGCATTACTGAACTCCGGGTCCTGCTGGGAAAACGTCATGAGCTCCTGGCTTGGGAAGGGCTTGGGAAGCCTTCTTTGCTGTTTCCAAACCTGCTGTCTCAATTCCCAAGTGGAATTTCCAAGCTGAGACCAAAGGTTTAAGGCCCAGATTGCTTGGGTGGGGTCTGTGCATAGCTGGGAATTACACCAACCCCTTGCCTGGGCAATCCCAAAAAACAGGATGATGGGCTCTGATTTAAAGGGATCATGGAATGGTTGGGGTTGGAATAAGGACCTTATCCCTTCCCACCCCCTGCCATGGGACACCTTCCACTATCCCAGGTTGCTCCAAGCCCTGTCCAACCTGGCCTGGAACACTCCCAGGGATGGAGCAACCAGAGTTTCTCTGGGAAATCCATTCCAGGGCCCCACCACCCTCACAGGGAAGAAATTCTTCTCAATATCTCATCTAAACCCCCACATTCCAAGGACCAGTCCACTTGGATCCCACACAACAGGAGAAGACCCTGCTGCTGCCACCAGGAAGAAATTCCCAATTTGGAGGGCAAGAATTCAGTGGTGAAAAAACAAATGTCCTCCAGGGATGAGCCTCTCGCTCCTTGGCAACACACACTTTCCAAAAATCCAACTTGGGGAATTGCACACCCCCCCTCAAACTGTCCCCAGCACCCCAAACTTGCTCTTTTTTTTGGAAAAAAGCTTTTTAGGGTAGGAGCTCCCACACATTGGATCTGTCCCCTTGGCAGAGGAAGCTCAGGAAGTTCTAGAGCTGGGAATTACAGCATGTCCTAGATCTGCCTCCCAGTTCCCACTCTGTCCAGGCTATATTTAATTTGGAGTGTCCAGCAAGTGCTGTATTTACTATGGATCCCAGTTCCTTGTCCAGACTGCACTGCACGTTTCATCCCACAAAATCACTCCATGAGGATCCATCCCAGAGGAGCTGGTGTGCCATAAAAAACAGGGGTTCTGCTCCCAAATTTTCAGTTCCAGGGAGTTTGTATAATGTTTTCTGCTGAAGACTGATTGCAATTGCAAACATTCCATTGGGAGCTGGTCAGAGAAGGATGCTCAGCACACAGCTTTCCACAAGGATTGTGGAAATCCTGGAATCCAAAAGTCCAACCATTTTCCCTCTCCCTGAACTTTTGCATCCAGCTCTTTCCCTGGAGCTGATAAAAGAAGAATTTGAAAAGGGAGCTGTAGTTTTGTGTTCATTCCCCAAAAAAAGCTCAAGTGTTTGGTTAATCCAACTCCCACGCTCCCACCTCCACCAGGAGACTTTGGACACAGCCCAAGGCTGGAAGATTCCCGCCTGGAAGTTTCAGAAAGTCAAGACCAAAAATAGGAAGGAGGGGCTAGAAGAGGAATCCCTTGGAATCCCTCAGTTCTGCTACTTAGGGGATGCTTCAGCTTGGGAGATTTTAGGGATTCTCCTGCTCCCAGTCCATGCACACTGACTTGAGGTGCACAGAGACGAAGCTGGGCACTGTTAGTGGGAATCACCATGTGGGAATGTGGGATTTAGAATTACACTGGCATCCCTCGAGTGCCACAGGGACACCACAGCACCTCCCCACTGCTTTGATCCTGGGCATGGATTAATTCCAGGTTTCCTCCTGCCACATATCCCAAAGAGAGTGACATGCCAGAGTCATCGGCCTGGATCATCATTCCAGCTTTGAGAATCCTCCATCCACTTGGGCTTCCCAGGAGATTCCATGGAATATTCTCACCCAATAACCAGAAGAAGCTTCTCTTGATCACTCCAGGAGCTCATAGGAATTCCTTTCTCCATGGTGATTCTTTTCTCTGAGTGCTTTGCTTCCAGTTTCCATGACTTTTCCTCTTGCCAACTTCCCTCCACAGGCTTTCCATGGCAGTTTCTAATTTTCCAACATCTGCCTTCACACTTGCTTTCCCATATCCATGAACGCCCTAAAATCTGCTTCTCCAACACCCCCTTCCATCATCATTTCCTGCTGTGAATCCCAGATATTCCTGGGATGGGACAAGCAGCACAGGAACAGCGAGTTCCCGCACAGCTTCCCAGCCTGGGTGATCCCATGGATTTGGCTCCTGGTACCCTCTCACTGTGTAATTCCCTGGAAGTGCCTCTTCCAGCTGGGATTTCTCATTTTTCCAACCAGGACACAGCTAAGCTCTTATATCCCAAACATTCCGTGACCAGCCACGTGTCACAACCTGCAGGGAAACCCTTTAATCACAGCTGGAGGTGGCAGCCACTGAGATTTGGGAATGATTGGGAATGATCCTGCCCTTTTCCCAGACACACCAAGTTGCATCTTCCACCGGGATGAGCTGCAGGACACTGGGATATCTTCCCAAAAAAGAGGGGGGGAATCTGCACCCCCATCCCAGCCCTCACCTGGGTGAACTCCTCGTCGGCGTAGATGTCAATCAGATCCACTCCCTCGGACATATTTCCAGAGGCGGGAAAAGCGGGAGCCCGGGCTGGGACCGGGCGGAGCCAGGACACGAAGGTGCTCTGGGAAGGAGGGGCAGGGGGTCAGTGAGGCCTTGGGGACACGGTGGGGGGGTCCCCCCAAATCCCTGTGTGCCCCAAATCCCATTTCCTCACCCCAATCTCTGTGGGCCCCTTAATCTCCTCTTCCCTCCAAATCCCTGTGCCCCCTAAATCCCTTCTACCCCCTCAATCCCCTCTGCCTCTCAAATCTCATGACGCCCCTAAATCCCTGTTCCCCCTAAATCCCCTCTCCCCTCTAAATCCCTGTGTCCCCCCAAATCCCACGTCCGCCCTAAATCCCTGTGTCGCCCCCGAATCCCCTCTGCTCCCCAAATCCCTGTGCCCCGCTAAATCCCATTTCCTGCCAAATCCCGTGTACCCCCCAAATCCTTCCGTCCCTCCATATCCCGTCTCCCCCCCCAAAATCCCTGTCTCCCCCCAAATTCCTTATGCCCCCATGATCCCCCACTGCCCGCCCCCCCCCGCGCCACCCCGTCCCCGCCATATGCGGCCCTGCGGAGCGGCGCGGCCCGGGCTGGGGGGTTTGTGGGCAGGGGGAATGCGAGGGGAGGGGGCGGCGGGTCGCGATATGTCGCGATAGGTCGCGCCCCCCACCCCGGGCCCCCCCTCCCCCCCGATCCCAGCCCCGCGCGCGCCGCCCGCGCTCACCGCCAGCGCCGCCGCGCCCACTTCCGGGCGTGGCCACGCCCACTTCCGGCACCCCCCGCCCCATAGAGTCGGGAGGGGGCGCGGCCAGAGCGGCGCGCGGCAAGATGGCGGCGGCCAGGGTTGGGGGGGAAGGGGGGGAAAACTGGGAGGGCAAAGGGGAGGGAAAGGGGTAAATGGGGAGAGAAAGGCGGGAGAGCGGAAAAAACAGGTTAAAATGGGAGGGAAAGGGTAAAAAGGGGTGAAAGGGGAAGGGAAAAATGTGGGGAAAGGGGGAAAAGAAGTGGGAAGGGGAAAAAGGGAGGAAGAAAGGGGAGAAAGGGGGAAGGAAAAGAAGGGGAAAGGGATGAGTTTTGGGGAAAGGCAGGATGGGAGGAAAATTGGCGAATTGCGGGAAAAAAGGGGAGAAAAAGGAGGAAAGTCTGAGCAGGCAGAAGAGCGTTTTGGGGGGAGAAAGGAGGTCTGGGAGATTTATGGGATGTGGGCAGCAGGGTTTGATGGGGGTGGAACTGGGAATCGTATCCAGCAGGATCTGGGAAGTTCTCTGTGTGTAGGCAGTCCCAGGCCTGACATCTTGGTGCTTTCCCTTTTCCCTCCAGCTCTGCTCGCTGCGCCGGCATCTCCTGTGGCCACTGATCCCTCAGCGCGGCTACCGGGGTGATTCCCCCACGGATTCTGGGAAGGACGTGCTGGAGATCCCGCTGCCCCCCTGGCAGGAGCGTCCGGACGAGCCACTGGACACCAAGAGAGCCCGGCTGCTGTACGAGAGCAGGAAGAGGGGGATGCTGGAAAACTGCATCCTGCTCAGGTGGGCTTGGCTCAGAGTATTCCAGGTCCTTTCATTAACAGGGAAGAGTTTAGTGAGGTAGCACAAAAATCCATGGGATAGGTGACTCCAAGATCTTGCTGGGCTAGCGTCCAATGATGGAATAGAGCTGGGAGAGCTCAGTGAGCCAAAAGCCATTGGGAAGAATGTATGTAAATCCTGGGACATGTGTGAACACAAGGCCAGTTGGATTTTGGGATCGAAGGAGAGACTAGAGACATAGAATGGTGGAATTCTGGAATGGTTTGGGTGGGAAGGGACGTTAAGGACACCTTTCACTACCCCAGGTTGCTCCAAGCCCAATCCAGCCTGGCTTGGATAATTCCAGGGATGTGGCAGCCACAGCTTCTCTGGGAAATCCATTCCACTCTCTCGGGAGTATCTTCCCAGTATCTCATGTGAACCAGCACATGGAATTCTGGAATGGTTTGGGATGGATGGGACTTAAGGATCATCCAGTTTCACCCCCTGCCGTGGGCAAAGATACCTTCCACCAGACCAGGTAGCTCCAAGCCCTAATCCAGCCTGGATAAGGGGATTCCAGGGGTGGAGATTCCACAGCTTCTCTGGGAATGCTGTGCTGGCATTTTCCCACCCGCTGAGGTGAAGGAGAGCAGGCTGGGGGTCCATGTTTTCCAGGATCTGGCTCTCATATCCCAGCTCTTCCTTCATCTCCCGCTCATCCTGATCCGTCCCTCTTCAGCCTCTTTGCCAAGGAAAACCTGGCGCACATGAGCAAGGAGCAGCTGAACCGCTACGACCGCCTCATCAACGAGCCCAGTAACGACTGGGACATTTATTACTGGGCCACTGGTACGTGTGGCCACACCCTGGGACACCGGGATGGCACTTTGGGACAGCACTGAGCTGATTTCTCCCTCTTTTCCCCTCAGAAGCGAAGCCGACGCCGGCGGAATTTGAGACCGACGTGATGGCCATGCTGAGGGAATTTGCCAAAAACAGGAACAGGGAGCAGAGGCTCCGGCAGCCGGACCTGGAATATCTGTTTGAGCCACCACGCTGAGGGAGGGGACGCCTCTGTCCCCATTCCCTGGAGCAGTGCAGGGATACGGGGCTCTGGACTGGTGCTTCTGCCTTCCCTGTGGTTTTCCTCTTCCAGCAGCCTTTGGACACTCATGGAACGCTGAATAAAGCCGTGGCTACCGGCCCCGCCTGGCTGCTGGCCCTGCCCTCTCCTGCTTTGTGACATCGGGGTCGGGCCCTCGGGGACATTCCCAGCTCGATCTAGCGCATCCCACCTCACTGATTTTCCCAGTTCCCACCTGTCCCTTTTCCCAGGGCCCCCAGGAGGTGGCCCCACCCCGGGGCGGGGGCTGTAGTGGTGCTGGAGCAGAACATTCCCGGTGCCCTCCAGCGACAGCCTCCCCGGGAGCTTCCCCTTGTCTCGGTTACCAGGAGACAGAGTCGCATTCCATGGGCACATTCCGCAGCTTCCGGGCCTGCTGGGACGGCCCCGCACCTCCAGCCATGGCGTAGGGCCGTCCCTCGGGCTGCTCCCGGCGCCAGGGGGCCATTCCCAGGGCCAGGATGCCTTCCCTGCCGCAGGACTCGCCCGCCGCGGGATTGGGGACGGGGTTCCCCGTGGTGAGGGGCCCCCCCTCCGAGCTCATAGGCTTTTATATCACCACCTACGAGGCGGCCTTTGGGAAGAGGCCCACGGGGTCACCCCAAAAGATCGAGGGGTGGCGTGTTTTGGGGTTTGAGCCCCCCTGTGAAAGGAGCATACACCCCCTCCTCGGTGTCCACACCGGCTCGGGATACGTCACCAACAACTACTCGGCGCTCTGGTCCCTGATCACCCCGCACGTGGAGCGGTAGGTCCCTGCTCCTGGAGTTTGGGGGGCACATTTTGGAATTGCTCCATCACAGCCGTTCCCACCACAGTCAGGACACCGACGTGTCCACCACCTTCGAGGACTTCAAGGTCTTTGGGCGTCCGGATTTCCAAAGGATTTTGCCCCAGTGTGTGGATGAGCCAGAGTGTCGGTATCCCACTGGCTTCTCCTTTTCCCGCCTCCGTTTTGGGGAGGTGAGACCTCCAAAATCATCCAGAGGAAACAGCACCTGGAGCCACTGCACCAGTCCTACCCAGCCAGGTATGATTCTGGGGTCTTAGGAATCCCAAGGAAAGCTCCATCCTTATGAGGATTTTGGGGTGTTGGGATTCCCAGGAAACCTCCAACTGCAGGAGGGGTTGGGGCCCTGGAGCTTCCAGGTCTAGCTCCATCATCAAGAAGGTTTTGGGATTATTGATGGTCCCAGAGCCACATCCAGCTCTGGGGATTTTGGGGTGTCAGTGTTTCTGGAGCCAGGTCAGACCTCAGGAGGACTTGGGAGTGTTGGAGACCCTCTGCACCTCCACAAACACAGTGGGACAGGTGTATCCAGGTAATGCCAGGCCTGGGGACATGGGACATCCCTGCTCCATCTGCTCCTCACAGATGTCCCACAGAAGGCGACAGAGCTGTTGGGTTTCACCGGGACCACCCCAAGGAGCGACCTCACCCTGCCAGAGCAGCCCGTGAGCGCCGTCCCCACCGTGTCCCCTGTTCCCCTCAGCACCCCAGGGGACACTTTTCCTCTCCCACAGCATGACATTGGTGATGCTTGGATGGATTCATTTCCTGACATGTGCAGCAGCACTGTAAGCAGAGCGATGGGGTGGCAAGGGCAGGGGACATCCTGTCCTGGTGCTCCCAGTGGGCTCTGAGGCAGCAGGAGCTGCCTGGGCATGGGAATGAGCAGGATCTCATCCCTGTGTCCCCACACAGTACCAGCCTGCCATGGGTTACCCCGCCCCTTTCGCCCCGCCGGAGCTCCAAGTGGGGCCCAAGGGAGTCACTACCAGGAAGGTGGGTACAGCCATGTCTGCTGTCCCCATGTGTGCTGTCCCCATGTCTGCTGTCCCCATCCCTTTTCCTAAGGAACCACACCCCCAACACACTCCATCCCTCAGGAGCCGTTGACATACAGCACTATCCAGAACCAGTACCTGATCAACCTCTCACAGCTGGCCCCCATAGCACCAGGTGAGTTTGGGGAGGATTGCAGCCCCCAGGAGGAGTGGACACCCCCCTCACCAATCCCTCCTGGATTTTCCAGGCTGGTGGGCGCAGACTCCGATCACCTGGGCACCGAGATCCGTGGAGGGCATCCAGATCCCAAGTCCCAGTGGCTTCAGCACCAACAACCGCCCCACCAACCTGTGGCACATCAGTGACCCCCTGACCTGATCCCCCAAAAAAGTGCTGCCACATCCCGGGAGTCCCATCCTTGGCTTTTCCCAAATCCCCGTGGGAGGAATAAAGACCCTGCATGATGCCATTGGATAGCCGCCTCATTTTGGGTGTTTCCTGCATCCCAGAGGCTGGCAGGAGGGAAGGAGGGCGGGTGGAGGGGGGGGTGTCACCTGGCCAGCTGCCACTGGAGGGCTGTACGAGCCCGGCTTTCCAGCTTTCCGAGCCGGCTTTGGGATGACACAGCTGATTTGCGGCAGGAAAATCCAGGCAGGGCTATGGTGGAAAGCAGGAGGATGATGAGGAGGAAGGACCCCTCAGCATGGGCAGCCATGTATGGCACTGGGGGCATTTGGAGAGGCTTCATCCATATCTTCCCTGGCCATGGGGAAGGGCATCTGTGCCCCAAGGAGTGGCTCCCTGCAGGGTCCCAGGGGATGTGAGGAATCACAGAGGGACTCCCCACCGGTTTTAGGACCCTCACCCAGTTAAGGCATCCACGCACAGCTCCGGGAGCCCCTCCTGCCGGTTTAGGGATTCCCACCCAGCCCAGGGACCCCGCACTCAACTTAGGGCCCCACACGCAACTGCAACTGGGTGAGGACGCTGATGCCAGGTTGCTGGAAAAGGTGTTGGGAATGCTGGGGTGCGAGGGGGCCCTGCGTGGTTTGGAGACAGACCGGGACAGGTAGGGCGGGAATGGGGCCGGGTAGGCGTGGGAACGGCGGGGCGGGACATGAATGGGGCTCGGTGGGCGTGGCCTGAATGGGCGCGGGAACGGCGGGGCGGGAATGGGAGGGGGCGTGGCCTCCGCGCAGGTGGCACGGGCTCCTATTGGCCGCGGAGCGTTGCCATGGCCACGGCGTCGCCCCGCCCGCCCCGCCCGCCCCGCCGGGTCCCGGCGCCGGTCCCGGTGCCGGTCCCGGTGAGCGATGGGCAGCGGCGGCTCCTCGGGGCGCGGGGCCCGGCTGGCGGCCGCCGAGGGCCCCGACGGCGTCGAGCAGCGGCTGGAGGTGCGGGGCCGGCAGGTCCCGGCCGAGTTGTGGGCTCAGCAGGGGCTGCGGAAGCTCTACCTGAGCGACGCGGGGCTGCGGGAGGTCCCGGACGAGCTGGCGGAGCTGCAGCACCTGCGGACCCTCGCCCTGGACGGCAACGAGCTGATGGAAGTGCCCGAGGCCGTGTGCGACCTGCCCCACCTGGCGCACCTGTACCTGGGCCGCAACGGGCTGCAGGGGCTGCCGGCCTCCTTCGCCCAGCTCCAGAGCCTGCGCTGCCTCTGGATCGAGGGAAACTTCCTGGCGCACTTCCCCCGCGCCCTCCTGCAGCTGCCGGAGCTGCGCAGCCTCCAGCTGGGGGACAACCGGCTGTGCCGGCTGCCCGCGGCGCTGCCCCGCATGGCCGGCCTGCGGGGGCTCTGGCTCTACGGGAACCGCTTCCAGGAGTTCCCGCCCGTGCTGCTCCGCATGGATCACATCCGCGTCCTCGACATGGATCGCAACCGCATCGCCAGCTTCCCGGACCTCACCGGCCTCGCTTCCCTGCGCCTCCTGTCCTACGACCACAATCCCGTCCGGCAGCCGCCCTGTGTCGGGGATGAAGTGCAGCTGGTGGGGGACGGGGCGCAGGAATACATGGAAGCGCGGCAGGAGCGGCTGCAGAGCCTGCAGCACCAGGAGGAAGAGGAGGAGGAAGGCACCGAAGCCGCCCCGGTATCCCCTGAGGATGGGCCGGAGTATGGGGAGGGGGAATCTGTGGCCTTGACGGGATCTCCTGAGGAACTGTGAGCCTCTTTTCTCCTGAGGGGGTGCAGAGCCCCCACCTGCCTCCCAGGGAATTCCCATCCACGGCTGGGAAAGGAGGAAGTTCACAGCCTCCACAAAGGAAAACCAATGGTCTGAGGATCAGCCTTATGCAGTTGGGACAGCAGCTTTGTGTCCTGGATCTGCAGGGCTCATGGATCCCAATGGTTATCCCATCTGAGAGCATCCCACCTACTCCAGGGTGCCTTGGATTGGGATACAGTCCCCTGCCCTGAGGGGTGATCCCGCACTGCCCCCCCGTGAGAATGGGGACATTTCCACTCCTTCACCTCTGAAAATCCTTTACTCCTGTCCCAATGGGCAGCACAGGAAAAAGCAATGCTGGTTGCATTCATTCCATGGATCCTGTCATCCTGAAGAGCTCCAAGGTTTGGGAACAAAGGCACAGCCCCTGAGAACCCAATTCTGCTGCTGAAATGGGGCTGGGGGAGAGAATTTTCCACCAGGCTCCTCTTGGCCATCAGGTTTGGGAAGGAGCTGATGGAAATTAGACCTGGGTCTAAGCACTGCCTGTCTCCAACCTGGACAGGATTTTGCCCCTGTGGGAAGAGGAGTCTCATCCCTGGCCCTGTCTGCCCCCAAATGGGCACCAGATCCAGGGCTGACACCTTATCCTTCCTCTTCCTCTCTCCAAGTGCCTCTTGGACCAAATGCAAGCAATAAAAAGCACAAATCCAAGGAATTTGTTGTGAGAGAACAGTGGCAGGGACCAGCCTCAGGGAAGGGGTTATTTGGGATCCCCTAAAACCAAGTGACATATTCTGGTGTGCGACCACCAGCTCCTCTTATTTTGGACATCCAAGGAGTCCTGATTCCCTCTGCCCATCTCCGAGCTGAGCCGGTGTGGTGGGAAGCTTGGGGATCTGAGGTCTGGAGCTCGCTGGAGGTTTCAAACCATGCATCCGCTTTTAATGGCCATGGATTTGGGTTTGGGGCTGGGAGGCAGCCAGAGCTCCTGCCACATCCGCTCCAGCACTGGCAGGGCAGATGCTGCCCGCTTTTCCCTCCACTTCCTATTCCACAGCAGGAACCATGGCTATTTTGGACATGTGGAGCTTCCTCAGCTGCGGAATGTGCAGGAGCTGTCGGTGCCAGCTCCTCCGGGGTAATTTCAAGGATTTGGGGCTTAGCAGGAGCTTGGAATCAAGTCTTCCCAATAGGTACCCAATAGGCTGTCAATCCCTTTTCCCACGCAGGTGTCCTTCACTGTAGGGCAGAGCATCCCAGGATCCTGTGACATCCCAGGCACACAATCCTGGACTCCTGGAATTCTGGGTGTCTCCCAGCCTTTCATGCCATCGATCCTGGGTGCTGCTGCTTTACCTGGGAAGACACTGCTGCTAATTAGCAAGGAATTAACCATGATCCTGAGGGTTCTGACCCTGGCAGAGACCCTCAGCATCCCAAACCCCTGCTGCAGGCAAGATCTGATGCCACCAGCTCCATGCAGATCCTTGCCAGCCTACCCATTCGGCAGGAACTGGGATGCAGGTGGCTCTGGATGCCACCAGCCTGTCCCCATGGCTGGGATCAGATCCAGGAGCTCTGACATCTGGGAAAGGGGGGTCCTCCCTCTCTGCAGCCTTTTCCCACCACCCAGCTATTCCCAAGGAGCTGGGTTGGGATCCAGGCACCGGTGACGGTGCTGGTGACACCAGGACCAGGAGCTGCCGCAGTCAGTGGGAATCTGACAGATTCCGGCTCCGCTCAAGTATTTTGGGGCCGCTGGCACCGGCGAGTCCCCGCTCCCGGCAGTGCATCATCCATACGTCTGTCCCTATATATATCCCTGCCTCCTCTCCCGGCCCCGCGTGCGACGGTTTGTGGCCTCGCCGCAGCTGGGATCACGCTGCTATTTCCATCTGCTCCCACTGCCTGCCAGCACAAAGCAACGGGATTGGGAATAGCTGCGGATCCGTGCAACAGGAGCTTCGGGATCGCTGCGCTTTCAAAGATTTGGGAGGATAAAAGGAGTCCGGCGTTGGTGTAAGAGCCCAGGCAGAGCCAGGATCGGTGGCACTGATGACATTGGCAGTTTAGGAATGCCAAAATTCCCAGGTTTGGATCAGCTGGAGCTGGAGTGAGGGTAGGCAGCAGCCACCACCCCTCCACTGGGGTGCAGATGGCAAGGGGACAGCGTTGTCCCCTGCTGCCACCTGCGATACTGCATCCCAGGGCCTGAAGGGTGGGTCCAGAGGGATCTTATCCTGTGCAGGGAGGACACGGACGGCCCTGCTGCCATCCCTGCGTTTGGAGTTTCATTTATTTATTCAAGACCAGCATTCCGTGAATTATTTAACAGCCACCAGAGCCTTTGCAATGGCACCAGGACACAGGATATGGTTCCCTGCCCCTTCCTTTCATTTGGAGCCACATTCCAGTCCCTATCCAGCACATCCCATGGCAAGGAAGTCAGCCCGGAGCTGGATGGGATGGGAACTCACCTGGCTCCAAGCAGGCTGCGGGGGGCACTGTTGTCCCTGAAGCATCCATGGGGATCCAAATCCCAGCAGGATCACAGAGTTTTGGGGGGATACTTGGTGATGGATGGGATAATACTGGGTGGATACTCAGGGTTGGGAGGAATAAGGCTGGGAGGGGGATGCCCACCCAGCTGCGGTGCCCCCATTCCCACCCCAGGATCCACCCTCTGCATTCCCCCAATCCCACAGATGACTCACGCTGGCAGTTACTGACTGTCCTTTATTACTGAGAGCAGGGGCTGCCTCCAGAAAACGAGGGGCCCTGCTCCCCAAAAATAGGATTCTTCAAAGGAGACGCCCCGACCCACGCGCCCCATCCTTGGCATCGCCAGCCGGGCACCCCCCGCTCCAGCCGCTCCCCAGCCAGGCTGGGCCGGGCTCTTTAGTGGATTTTTTTATCTTTTTTTGTCTTTTTTTTTTTTTTTTTTTCCTGTTTTTCTGTATTTTACACACCAGTTGGATGTTACCGTCACATGAAGAAGAGAGAACCTGAACAAGATCACGGCTACGAGCTCTAGAGTTAAAAATGAACACACAAACCCCCGGGGAGCCCGACCGCGGACGAGGAATCCAGCCTGGAAAAGCAGGGTGCCCAAAGGGCCACGGGGGGCACCCGGCTTGGCACAGCCCTGGCCCTGCCACCCCTTCCCCAGGCATGTAAGTCTCTTCTTTTATGTTAAAAAAAGAGAGAATATGACAAAAATACAAATGTCCCTAAAAGCGTTGTTATTACTGTAATAGCAGTATTATGACTTCTCTCCAGATTGTCCAAAATCGTCTAAATTGGGGCTGTGGGAGCTGCTGGGAGCCAAGGGTGCCACGGGGGGAGCAGGAAGACTGAGGATGATCTGGCGTCTGCCCGGAGAGCCACCACCGACCCCGTTGTCACCCCTGTGGGGCTCCCAGGTGGGTCTATCCCTGTTTTTGGGGGTCCCAGGGAGTGGGAAGGGCTCTGGCATGTGCATCCCAGGGCTCCGTGGGGATGCTGCTGCTGGCACTGATCCTGCCAGGCTGGCCGTCCCAAGGAATGCCACCAGCCCAGGGAATGTCACCTGCCCTCGATGGGGACAACAGCGCTCGCTCTACCCTTTATCCCCAGGGATGGGCACGGGGCTCCCGGAGCAGCCCCGGCTGGAAGGGGACCCTGTGGAGCTCCGCATTCCCCCGAGGGGCCCCTTCCAGCCCGGGCTGGGGGCCCGCCTTAGGGACCCCCCGCTCCCGCCGAGACCCAAGACGGAGGTAAAGCATCGAACCCGGCTGAAGGCAGTGCACGGAGGAGCCCACTTTGGATAAGGAACTGTGTCATGGCTTCCGATCCCAGGAAAAGGGGCCGTCCCCTCCCCTCGGTGTCCCCCGCCCGCCCCGGGAGGCTCGAGGGGGGCGCGGTGGGGACGGGGTGGGGCAGGGGGGGCTCCGTGGCTCCGCTGGCGGCTCCGAGAGGTTTTATGGAGCTGAACGGGGAGGGCGGAGGGTCCCTCTTGCACCTGCAGCCTGACCCCCTGAAATGGGGGGGGGCGAGGCCGGGGAGGGGCCGAGGGGCTCGGGGAGCGGGGCTGGAAGCACTCGCAGAAGTCCTGTCCGGTGGTGGGAATAGGGATGGAGGGGACATCGCTTCTGGCACCTCCTCGGCCGGGGTGGGGGGCGGCTCCGCACCCCCCACACCCCAGGGAGAGGCGAACGCGGGGGGTCGGAGGGGCTCCGTCCCCGTCCTCCCGCAGGGTTCCCGTGAGCCAGGCCGCTGTCCCGCCGGTCCCTGGCCGGGAGCGCCGCGGGAAGGGGCTGGGAGCTGGGAAGGGGGACCCCGAGCCCGCGGACCGGGGGCGCTCAGGCCTTCAGCTGGTGCCACTGTGCCACTGCCTGCCGCGGGCGGGCGATCATGTCCTTCCAGTGCTTCACCTCGCCGGGACCGCTCTTCCAGGACAGGTAAATCTGCGGGAAACGCATCCCTGGAGCCGCCACGGCCGCTCCATCCCCCGACCCGCCGCCCGGTGCTGATGCCTTCACCCCCAAACTGCTCCAGCCCCGCTTTTCCGGGTTTGGCGCGGAGCCGGGCTATTTTTATCCCTCGATTTTCCATATGGCGCCGTGGAAAAGCGCGTGTGCCAGCTCTTGCTGCTGCTGCTGCCACCTCCGGGAGCCGGTGCCACCGCTCCGGCTCCGCGGATCATCGCCGGAGAGCCGGGATGGAACAGCGCGCGCTGCTAATTATGCGATCAAAAGTGATTAGCGAGCCTCAGGCCATGGCAGGGTTTTAACAGAGAGCGGGATACCATGGACACTGCCTGTCCATCCCTGGAATCCGGGCTCTTGGATGTGTCCACACCGGGGACGCCGCCACCTCCGCCCCTGCCCGGCAGCCCATCGGCGCTGATCCGGGGATTTATTTAATGGATTTATCTCAACTGCTGCGTTTTCCCGGTCCCAGCGCGGCCTTTGGGGATCGCGGGAGGAGATTATGGCGCTCATTTGTCATCTTTGTGCTAATGATGTTTTCATGGATAATTCCGCCACTCCCGTCCCTGGGAGTAATCCCATGGGGTGGGATCCATCCCGGTGTGGCTCCCCATGCCCTATCCCTGCTTTTCTGGGAGAACTCCGGCCCTTTGTGGATGTGACACCCAGCACGAGGGGTCCCCACCGCACTCCACACTGGAGATGGCACCAGGCGTTGGCAGCCCCGGGCCAGGCTGTCCCCAGTTCCCACCTGGGAGTCCCTCGGGCGTGTCACCCACCTTGCCGATGACATCATTGCGGCTCAGCCTGTCCTTGTCCATGACGGTGATGACGATGGTGGTCTCGCGCAGCCGCTCCGTGGGGATGTCGAAGGCGAAGGACTCGTTGAAGACGGGGTTCAGGCACCGCTTCATCACCACCGTCTTCTTCTTCTCCACCCGCTTGTCCTTGTACATCAGCCACACCTTCACGTAGGGATCTGGCGGGAGAGGAGCCGCTCTCAGCCCCGGATGGGAGCCAGGGAATGCCACCCGGGATGGGGGCAGCCGGTGCCGTACCTGAGGTGCCCCCGATGTCCATGGCTTTGAGGTTCCGTGCCTTGATGATGTTCACCACGATGGAATTGGCCGAGGGATTGTAGCACAGTGACAGCAGCAGCTCCCCACGGCTTCCCTGCGGGACACATGCGTTCCCTGAGGACACCCACGCCCCCCAGAGCTCCTCTGTGGGAGCAGGGTGCTGGCATGGGACCCCCACTGGAGCAGCCCAAGGGTGGGGTTTGGGAAAGCATGGAAAATCAGGGCAGGAGGAAACAGGGCCACACCCTGTGGGACATTTTCTGGTCTTGCTGGAGGCTGGAGAAGGAGAAAACTTTCATTTTAGGTCTACCTGACACAGTCTGGTTTGACCCAAAATGAGACTTTGGGCTACTTAATATAAAATCTGAGAAGAGAAAAATCTCCGTCAGATATTGAAACAGAAAATGTCCCCGTTGGGATCGGGGCGGTCCTGTTGGGACTCTGCAGGGACAGGGGGTCACCTGTCCTCCCCAGGGGGATGGGAGGGGTCCAGGGCCTTACACTGCCATCACTGCAGGGCTTCAGGTCCTTCCAGAAGGTCTGCATCTGCGTCAGGTCCACCTTGTTGAGCGGGATGGACACCTCTCCGATGGGATCATTGCGGCTGAAGCGGTCGTAGTCCAGGACCTGGAGGTACAGCACCCGCTGCACCACCTTCTCGTAGGGGAACCCTGTGCCGGGGAAGGAAAAGCCAGAGGGATGAGGTGCAGTTCCAGGACTGCTCTATCCTTCCTGTCCTGGTGGCAAGACCCTGGCACCAGGCAGAGGATGTGGAGCAGCCCATGGCACAAGGAGCTGCTGCCACATTAATTCCCACATTTGCACCCACCCATGGAGCCTTCCAAACCTTCCCCCGCATCCTCTTTATAGGATGCACATCCAGCCTGGCCTCGGTGGCTTGGCCAACCCATTGCATCACCAATAGCCACCACGCTGGTTGCTTGAGCTGAGCTGAACCGCAGGAGGATCCCACGAGGCTCTGCTCCCACCCTGATCCCCTCCGGTCCATCCCAATCCATACCTTCGAAGAGGAAGGTCTCATTCCAGTGTGGGTTGAGGTTCTTCCTCTTGACCTTGGTCTCCAGTTTGTGCTTCTTGTCGGGGAGCAGGTAGATCTTGACGAAGGGGTCGCTGGTGCCACTGAAGTCCTTGGCCGGCAGCTCCTGCGCCTTCATGATCTTCACGGTCAGGGTGGACTCCTGGAAGTTGTAGCCGACGCTGAACTGGATGCGGCCCAGGTTCTCCCGGCTGACGCCTTCATGGCCCTCATCATCCTCGGAGCCCGGGGAGAGCTGCGGGAGGGGGAAAGAGGAGGGGGGTGAGCTCCGCACCGAGGGCTGGCAGGGACCCGACCCCCGTCCCCCTGACCCCAGCCCTGCCAGTTGTCAGGGGACATCAGCCTCTCCCCGGCTTCCTGCTGCCCCCACCGCCTCCGACTCCTCCTGGCTCAGCACCACTCATCCCGTGGAACGGGAGCTCCAATTAGCCAAATTCCTCCTGACAGCGCATCCCTCACGTGTCCGGCACGACTCGCTCCCTCGTGCCAGCCCGGGGGACACGTCCGCGGCGCGCCGGCTCAGCCGACAGGGACTTGGCACAGCGTGCAGGGATGTGCCGGAGGGCTTGTGGATGGCACAGGGAAGAGCTGGGAGGGTTGGATACCGACCGTGGAGACCCCCAAACCTGGCGCACCCCACCCACCCACCATGAGCATCTCGCTGGTCAGGGAGTTGACCAGGTCGGAGACGGAGGAGTGTGGCTCCGTCTTGCGGTCGGACTCATCGTGCGGCGGCTGCCCCGGCGCCGGTGCCGCGTTCCCAGCCTTCCCACCGGCCGGCAACCTGCAGGAAGAGAGGCCTTGGAGGAGAGGGGCCGGGAGCCGAGGGCGAGACAGCGAAGGGCTTCCCGGGCGCCCTCTCCCAGCAGATACTGAGCCCGGGCTGTGCCGGACGCTGCCGGGACACACGGCGGCTGCAGCCCACCAGCATCCTGGCCCTGATCCTGGAGCCAGCTGGTGGCCTGGCACCCTTAGGGCATGGCAGCAAGTCCCCCTGGCCACGTCCCACGGCGATGGCAGGGACAGCACGGTCCCCACAGCACCCACGGCTCTGGCTGCTCCTCACACACCGCACCCCCTTATCCCGGTGGGCGCCAGGCACCCACGGGTGCTCCAGGTGGATTCGCTGTCCCCTGCCCCACTTTCCTGTGGCTGAGACACCCCTGGGGTCACTGTCCTGGCTGTCCCCACACACGGTGGCTCCCGGACATGGTGCCGGGCAGGGTGGGCAGCCGGGAGCGGCAGGAGGCAGACGGACAGAGCAGCGATGGAGACGGGCGGGAATGTGCCTAGGCCACACTGCCACGAGGCACAGGGACAACGGGACACAGGCACGTGGCAGAGGGGACAAGCATCCCGGGATGCTCCCACCCCCCTGTCACGGCTCCTGTCCGAGCTGGGACACAGTGAAAAACCACCAGACGGACCGAGAGGCGCAGGGACACACGGGAAGCCACAACATGCCACGGACACGCGCCGCCACGCCAAGCACACGCAGACACACGGGGAGGGGACATGGGAGGGCGATGGGGACACCCACACGCACACACGGGATGGCACCCAGGAAGGACCGGAGAGGCCAAGACAGCTGGGGAGGCAAAATTAGGTTAAAACCAGGGAAAATGAAGGCAGAGGAGCCGGCGGCGGGGCCGCTGCACGAGGAGGCGCCGGTGGAGCCGGGAATGCCGGTGGAGGTCACGGATAGCGGGAGAGAGAGCGGGAGAGAGCAAAAGAAAGGAGGAGCAGCGTCGTCCAGCGCCGGCCTGCCGGGAGGGAATGGGAGAGAGGAGCAGGGGCGGATGGACGGACAGACGGAGTCGCCGGGACAGGAGACACGCCGAGGAGCCGGGCTGGAGCCGCCGGGGATAGGCTGGAAGGAAGAAGCTGCGAAACAGGGATGGAGGAGATGTTTTGAGGAAGAAGAGCGGGTGGTTGGCAGCGTCGGTGGGCGGGAGAGAGCCGAGGCTGCCGGAGCGCGTCCCCTCCGCCGGCCGGTCCCGCCGCGTCCTGCGGAGCCCAGGGAACGAGGAGCGGGAGGGATGGAGGTGGGGAATGCCATGCATGTGCTGGGATGGGTTTTCGGAGCAGGGAGCTGCGACAAGCGGGGAGCGGGGTCTTTGCGGCACAGCCACCCACCCGCCGTGTCCCACGTCCCCGTCCCCTCGGCACGGGGCAGCCGGCGGCCGGCACGGGCTGCCGGTGCTCCCGGCGGGGACCGGCTGCGCAGCGCGACGCCGGGGAGGGAAGTGCTAAAAGATGGAGCGAAACCAAGCGGAGCAGGGTAAAAATAGCCGGCGGGCGAGAACGGTGCCAGTTCATCCGCACGCCGAGCACACGGGGAGGCAGCGCCCGCTGGCTTCACACCTCCTCCCCGCTCCGGAGGGGATGAACACCCGCTCCCGGCGGCGCACGGACCCTCTGCCTCTGCCAGCCAGCGCCGGTGGCCGCGGCCGGGCGCCGGGGCAGGGGCTGGATGCGCTGCCGAGCCTGCGGCACGCCGGGAATGCGGGGAGCAGCCGGAGGCGAGGGGCTGTGCCGTGCTGGAGGAGAACGGGGGGTACGGCGTCCTCTCCCCGGCCTGTGGCGCTCGCTCTGCCCCCCTGCCACCGCAGCGGTGTCCCCGGGTCCCCAGGGGAGCTGCCCATCCCGCCGGGATGGAGGTGGCAGCGGGGTGTCAGGATGGGACAGCTCAGCCCATGCGGCATCACGTGGGGGGTACCCCCCGTGTCCCCCGGTCCCTGAGCGTGTCCCCCAGCCCCCACCCCTGCATGCAGCCAGGGCCGGGAAGGGCAGGAGGGGGAGGAAGGAGGGAGGAGGGAGGAGGTAGGGATGGGGGTGCTCTCGGTGCCGCTGCTCCGGAGGCAGAACCGCGGGTGCCGGTGCCGGGGAGAGCTCAGACGTGCCGGTGCCCGCTGGGCCACCCTGTGCCGCTCCAACCTTCGCGCTCCACGAGGCCAGCCTCCTCCTCCTCCTCCTCCTCCACCCTGGGTGAGGCCCTCGTCTCCTCCTCCTGCGGGACTGGCCTCGTCCTCGCTCATACCTCTTGTCCCCCTGAGCGTTCGCCTGGTTCGGCTGCGTCCCAGCGGGTTGCAGGTCGGGAATATTGGCAAAGTCATCTTGCTCTGAGAGTCCCAAAACCAGGGATAACACCACCATCCGGCCTTCCCTGCCCGGGCGGCCCCGCCGGCAGCGGGAGAGAGAGAGAAAGAGAGAGGAGAACACAGCGTCAGGCAGGGAACCGGCAGGAACCGGCGGCGTCCCGCGGACCCCCGGCGGCGAGGGGACCCCGGCTTTCCCCGCCGGCTCCTGCGAGGTGACGATGGCCGGGATTGGGCGCACAGGGCTGTGGGGAGAAAGGAGCCAGGCACGCGTGGATACCCGCGCTGTCCCTCTCCTCCACCGGTCCGGGCAGAGAGGATACCAAAATCCTGATGAAGGGGGGAAAAGGTGCCTGGAGGGGCTGGGAATGAGGGAGAGTGTGACAGGAGTGAGGTGCCAGCGTCATTCCGTGGAGGAAGGGATTGGCGGTGCCATGGACAAGGCTCTTTGCCCTCTCCGGGTCCTCGCCCGGGTCTGTAGCCGCCTTTACCCCGCGGCGCCGGGGAGGGGGAACAGGGTGAAGAGCGAAAGAAAAATCGATGGATCGGGAAAGAGGCGGTGGGAAATGACAGCGGCTCCTCCGCTGGGAAGCGGCGCTGACTCGGCACGTCTGGGCTCTGCGGCTGCTCCCTCTCCGCCAAGTCAGGCTGGAACCAGCACCGGCGCTGGGTAAACAGGGAGAACGTGACTCTCGGGATGGCTGGTGAGCCGCAGCTCCACGTCAGGAAGCCGAGAAATGGAGCTGGGAGGAACCTGGGAGAGGGTAGAGCGGAGAGGGGCTCATGGGCAGTGCACCCCAGGGTGCAGGGACAGAGGTTCAACCCTCTCGCCAGAGCAGGAAGAGGTGGGATGGGCACCCAAATTTGTGTCTTTCATCTAATCCTGATGCAGGAAGAGCTGTGTCAGCTCATGGAAGGGCAGGGTCAGTCCTGCGTCCCCCTCCAAGTGCCACCAGCCTGCAGAAGGCAAAGCTGGAACCTCAGCATTCCCTTTTCCAGGGTGCCAGGGGGAAAACAGCGGCTATGGAGGAGCTGGAGAATCCAAGGGAAGATGGAGCCGGGGGGCCCAGCTCTGCAGAGGAGGGACAATGTCACGTGCCGAGATACGGTGACAACACGGCACTTGGATTAGTCCCCGGGGTTTGATGCTGGAAATACAGCGCTGATGGAGGAGATGGGGTTAAGGCGGATTAAAGATCCCACGGCTCCTCCGGCTGGGAATGATACCGGGGCCCGAATCATGGTCACCCCAGCACGGGAGACTCTGCCACCCGCACCATGACCAGCTTAGGACAGCATCACTCCCTGGGGGGCCTTGCTGGTGGCCATCCCTGGGGATGGAAGGGGACGGCCAGGGACACCTCAAAGCACACTGGGGAAGTGCATGAGCCCCTTCCCTGAGCCCCCCCCGAGCCGGGGGGGACACGGACCTTCCCGCAGGCCATGGGCAGCACGTCCCCAAGGGGGAGACAGATGAGCGGCCGCACCGGGGCAAGTAAAGGAGGAGAGGAGAGAGGGTCTAGAGAGGGATGAGCAGAGGGATAGAGCAGAGCAGAGAGGGATGGAGAGAGCAAAGGAGCAGAGGGATAGAGCACATGAGCTGGTGATGGAAAGTGATGGAGCAGAGAGAGCAAAGGAAGGGAAAGGATGGAGAGAGGAATGGAGGGGAGAGAAGAATGCAGAGGGCAGTGATGGCAAACGCACACTTACAGGAAGGACTTCATGTCCAAGCCGCGGTTGCGGATTTGCCCCACCACGTGGTCCCAGCTGCCGGGGTTGGAGCGGCTCCTGCCCCCGGCCATCCGTTGCTTGGAACCGGCGGCGGTGCCCTGGCGCGCCGGGCCGCCGCGGGAGCCCCGGGAGCTGGCGGCGGCGGCGGAGGAGCCGCTGTGGGCCTGGAGGTGGCCCAGGCTCTGGCTGGTGGTAGGCTGGCTGTGGTTGGCGCGCTGGTGCTGGCTCAGGGGCTGCTGCAGACTTTGCTGGCGCACGAGCGTGCGGGGCCTCTGGAATTTGGGATCGCCTGCTGAGGTGGGGATATACTCAAGGGTAGTGGCTGTGGACAGGGTGGAGTCCTCGAAACTTAGGGAGAGGAAGGGCAGAGGAGAGGAGAGAAAGGAGAAGAAGGTGAAGGGGCAAAATTGGAGGAAGGAAAAGAAGAGAGTTAGAGAGAAGATGCCCCAGCGCAGGGAGCGCTCCGGCGGGAGCCAGCGAGGGCAGCGCCCGGATCCTCCGCCTCTCGCCCGCGGCTCGGCCCTGCCGGCGGCACGGGGGGCTCGGGCCGCCACCATCCTGCCTCCCGGGGGGCTCGCCAGGGCCGGATGCCCACCCGCTCCCGCGGCCGCCGCTCCGCCAGCGCCTTCCCAGCACGCCGGCCGACCTGCTCTGCGGGATAATTAGGCTGCTGCGTGGAGGCAAATCCCGTGGCGCCCGCTCACGTGCTGCCAGCCAGCCCATCCCAGCGTCCCAGTCCCTCCCAGTCCAGCCCAGCACCCAGCAGCGGCGCCGCGGGGGCTCGGCCTCCCGTCCCCTCCGTGCTGGACGCTGCGGGAGGGGGGAATCCGAACCCCCGTGGTGGTGACATTCCAGCGAGGCGTCCCCAGGGCCAAGCCAGGCTCCAACCGGGATGGGAGATCATGGGACTGGGGGGAGAGATACGGACGCAGCTCTGGTGGGACACGGAGAGCGGAGCAGCGTGGCCCGGGGCGGACGGGCTTCGTGTGGGCGGCGGAGCGAGGAGAGCAGCGGGATGCCCCAAGGAAGCGGCGCTGGCCATGCAGCACATGCGTGGCACAGCCCATGCAGCCGCACTGGATTGTCCATGGGAAGCTCGTGGCCACGAGATCGGGGAGGAATTTCCTCCCGGGACCCCCGCCCGGCATAGAGGAGTGGCTTTGAGCGGCAGTCACCGACCCTGTCCCAGTCCCGGCGCTGCCGCTGGGACCGCGGGGCGAAGCTGTGCCATCGTGCAATGCCAGCAGCGGGGACACAGAAGTAGCGGGGAGGGGATAGGCAGCTCCAAAAAACAAAAAAAAACCAACCAAAAAAAACCCAAAAAAAAAAAGAGGTGAAGAAAGAGCGAAAGGTGGGGAAAAGAGAGAGAGGAGGGAAGGGAGTGGAGAGGAGCGGAGAGCTAGGATGGACGGAGCCCCACGGACGGGGCCAAAGGCACTGCCCGGACGCTGCCGCCCCCCACTCCGCGCCGACGCCGACCTCCTTTCGTTTTCCTATCGAATCCTAAATTAGTTCAATTTACAACCTCTCAGTCACAGAAAACTAAATCTGGCTCCTGTCGGCCCCGCGCCAGCTGGAGGCGCGAGCTCCTCCAGCGCCGTGCCAGGCGGCACCGCGCCCTGCCCGTGCCCGGATGGATCCCCTGGCACCGGCACAGCCGGACCCTCGGCCTGGACCCCCGGGACACCCCCAGCCAAGGGGCTGCTGGAGAACAGGATGCTCCTCCACGTGCCCTTAACCCTGTCCTTGCCGCCAGCTCCAGCCCATCCGTCTGTCCGGATTCCCAGCGGGGGGACGGCTGAAGGCAGCGCCGCTCCCGCTTTTCCTCGCCTCTCCCTCCTCCTGCTTCCCGGTGCCCAGCTGGAGCGCAGCAGCCTCACGCCGAATGGGCGGTGTCACCGAGCTCTCCCGGAGTGCCGGCGCTGCTGCCGGGACCCCCCGGCTGCCACATCCCAGCGCGGAGAAGCGGAGCAGAGACCGAGAACGCCGGACGGAGCCCACAGCCGGCACACCCCCGTCACCCCGCCAGAGCCGCGGCGCTGCCAGCAGTGAAAGGTCTCGCCGAGACCCCCACCCCGGCCTGGAGCCCCGCAGAGCCTGCCAGAGCTCGGATTTTCCCTAAATCTGATCAGCCCCGGTCTTTTCCCAGCTTTCCTTGGCATCAGGAAGTGGTGCCGGCGCCGGGTCCGGTGGCTGTGCCGGGGTCAAAGGGAGCGCACGGGGGGAAAATGCCGCACATTGCCCCTGATTGTTCCTGAGGGATGGAGCGTGGGACAGCACCTCCTGCCTTTGGGACACCACCGAGGTAGCGCTGCCTGCCCTGAGAAGCCGAGCTGGGAATGCTGAGCCGCTTCCCACCGGGACTGGGCAGGGTGACCCTCAGCGCTGGAAATGCGCTGGGGACAGCACCCAAAGGTGCTGCTCCTGCCCGGCTGCCTCCTCTGCTGCCCCTGAGCCAAAACACCGCTGGGAGAACGGGAAACGCCTCCTCTCCCTCGGCACGGTGGTCCTGGGGACCTCTCGGTGGCCCCGGGGACCTGTCGGTGGCCCCCATCCAAGCGCATCCGCAGCAGGGAGCGGGTGCCCGGGCCCGCCGGCCGTGGCCGTGCCGGACCGTGCCGTGCTCACTCACTTGGACAGGCTGAGCTTCCCTGCGGCCAAGTGGCTCTGCACCGTGTGCCAGCGGCCCCGTGCCGCCTTTCCCGCTCCGGGCTCGCTGTGGGCGGACATGCTGCTCCTCATGCCATCCTCGCCGAGCCGCTGCTTGTCCCCGGGCCGGCCGTCGCGGTCCCCGGACAGCCCGGCGGCGGCCGACGCCGTCAGCTTGGCCCCTGATAACAGAGAGCCACTGGGCCGGGCCGGCGGCCGGACCCCCCCAGACAGACACGAAGGGAGCCGGACGGACACACGGATGGACGTGGAAAACGTGGGAAGCCGTCGGGGAATGAGGGCGGGGGGGGGTGCGACAGAGCCGGAGGGGGCAGACGGACAAGAGACGGACAGACAGACAGAGAGAGAAAGAGAGACATCAGCACTGCAAAAAAAAGGGGTCCTGGCCGCGGGGTGCGCGGGGGCCTCGGCAAAACATCCAAGAGAAAGGGCGGAGGAGGGAGAGGGGTCGGGAAGAGGGGTCCCGCTCGCCGGCAGCCCAGCCCCGGGGGGACCTGTCCCCGTGCCGAGGGGGTGCCCCCAACGCGCAACCCCGTCCTGGAGGGAGATCCCGGCCGGCCCCGGGAATGCGGGAAGGAGGGGTTGCTCGTCTCCATGGGACGGCCCATGGGGTGGCGTGCGGGGAGCTCGGGAGCAGGAGGGGGAGGAGAAGGAGGAGGGAAAGGAGGAGGAAGAGGAGGAGGAGGAGGAAGGCGAGTGGGTGCTGCCCATATACTCACTACACGGAGCATACGCGGTAAGGAGAAACTCACTTGAGGGAAAGGCGCGGATCACCGTACGGAGCGTAAGGAGAAATGTTTAGGATAAACTCCTTGGGAGGGTAGGAACTCCATTTCTGCTGCACTGTGTTGTCATTGTTATTCCAAAAGTCTCTGTCTAGATCGCTACAGCGGCCGGATTCCGGGGGAGAAAGAAAAGGGAAATACAAGAGAGAGAAGCTGAATTCCTGCGAGAGAGAAGGAAAAGCAGCCCTCCGCCCCTGGAGTGCCAGGATCCTGCGGAGAGAGACGGGGAGCCCACCCCTCAGACACCGACACACACACACACACACACACACGGACTCGGACAGAAGGATGGATGGATGTGAAGAGCTGTGGAGAGAGAGGAGCGGGCGGCTCCACCGGCTGGGAAGGAGAGAAGGATGTGAGGGGTGAGGGAGGTGTTGGCGAGTGCGGTGCCTGCACGGCATTCCCGAATGTGTGCCCGTGCGCCCTCGGCACGCGTGTCCGTGTGTCCTCGCCTGCTCAGCAGCCGAGTCCTGGAAGTGCTTGGTTACCCACGACACTGCTGCGTGTTGGAGACCCTTATGGATCCCTTCCCTTGCGGATCCCTTCCCGCAGAACCGGCCTGCTGCCAGCACAGAACCTGCACCTCCTGGCTCCGGGAAGCCACCGGAGCTGCGTGCCAAGGGCTGGGGGGCTCAGCAGCTCCCCGCTGGTGCTGAGAGACTGGAAAAGCCCCCAGTGCCCACCTGCAGCTCCGGGTGGATCCCGGCTGTATGGAATGTGCTGGAGTTTGGGAGAGCTGCCCGTGCCATGACATTGGGTGTGACGTGCCTTCCCCTCCATTCCCAGCTCATCCTGGTTAGATTGGAGCAGGCTGGCCAGGTGCCCCTGCATCCCGATAACACCCAGGCCAGCCATGGGAGGAAGTTTTCCATAGGCTTATATTCCAGGCAGGAACTTTTTCCCTCCTGGTGTTCCAGCTCCCTCCTCCCTGGAGGCCTGCAGAGGGTGTGGAGAGGTGGTGCTGGATTTGGGATGCCCAGGAGAATCCCCTCGGCTTCCAGCCTCCACTCCCTATGCCATGGGATGCTCCAGCTCTGCTCTCCTTCCTCCATGGAATGCCCGTGGGATGCAGAGCCACTCCAGCCCTGCTGGGCACGGCTTGGAATCCACATGCCCAGGCCTGGAGCATCCCTAAGGACACCCCAGCCGATGTTCCCGTGATTCCATCATGCCCACGGCTCAGTGGGATACACAAGGATGCTGGAGACACCCACCAGCTCTCCCAGTCTCCCGGAGCCCCTCTCCCACTGGGAGAAGGGATGGCCACCTCTGTCCTTCCTCTCCCCCCCCATCCTGGCACCTACTTGATGGTTTTCTTTTCGCTACGGCCTCGGCTGGAATCTGGAGTTCCCACAGTCTCCAGGGAAGTCTTGTAACGCTTTCCCTGTGGGGAAGAGAGGGGAGAGGGGTCAGGGGGTGGCGGAGGATCCCCAGAGTATCCCAGGGGAAGTCAGGAGCTGCTACCACTTATAGAATTTGACCTGGGGTTTGCCCTTTCCCTTATGGTCTCCAGGCTCCATCCCATCCATCCAGGCAGCAAAATTCCCAAAGGCTTCATCCCTTGGTCCTTGGGCACTCGTGCCCTGCATCCCCCCAAGGACAGCACGGCCACCACCGTCAGCATCCCATTCCATGGCCTCACTGGGAAGGAGTGGATAATTTTAGGCCTAATTGGGCCTGAATTAATTGGGTTCACCTTTCCCAGCACCAGGGAAGTGCTGCCATAGGATAATGAAGCTGGAGCTGGCTCCAAACTGGGGCTGGTAATCAGGGCACTCCAGCAGGTTCTGAGCACTGCTCCGACCTAGGGTGGGCTGGAGCCAATTAATGCCAATTATCCAACAATTGGGAGAGAGGATGCTCCATGCAGTGCCAGGCGGATGAGGGATGGGAGCAGCTGCTGGAGCAGGATGGGGTGGAGAACCAGCCCTTGTCATCCCACTGGTCCTGGATATCAGGAGCCAGGCCTGCATCCAGCCTGCCCATGGAATGGGAATGTCTCTCCTTTCTCCTCCTTCCTAGCCTCTTCATATCCACATGGAGCCATCTCCTTGGTTTGCTGGGACACCTGGATCCCAGCACAGCTTGGGCTGGCACTTGGGCAACCATGGGCTAATCCTGCCAGGAGCTGCAGGGGAACACCTGGACCTCCTGGGATGCCCAAGGGATAATTCTGCCAGAAGCTGCAGGGATGTTGGATCTCTTTGGATGCTGCGAGGAAACACACCTGGACCTTCTTGGATTCACATTGACTAATCCTGCCAGGAACTGCAGGGATGTTGGATATCCTCGGATGCCCAAGGGCTAATGCAGCCAGGAGCTGCAGGGGAACACCTGGACCTTCTTGGATGCCCATGGGCTAATCCCACCAGGAGGCAAGGTGGTGCCTGACTTCGCTGGATGCTCACAGGCCATCCCAGAGGGAATCATCCCCCAACCCTGCGCTCATCTTTGTCCCCGGCTGTGGCAGCTCAGGGCTCCTGAGGACATGGCAGCGGTGGCCGCGTGGGCACGGCCCGGAGCTGGCCCGCTGGGCTTGGCCGTCATTCCCACACAGCCGCTCCAGCTCCGGGTGCTGTCGAGGGCCGGTTGGGATGCGCCTTCCCGGCCAATTTACACTTGTTTGTTCCTCTGCCAGCTCCAGCCTCCTCCTTTCCAGTGCTTTTTACTCTGCCAGCTCTCTCTCCCCATTCCCTGGGTGGCACCTGGAAGGGCCCTTCCCTCCCACCGCCCTCCCGCTGCCTCATCGCCATGCGGACCCCCTCTCCCATTCCCAAGGGAATGCTGCCTTCCCACGGTTCGGGGTGGGCATCTCCCTGTCGGGAAGCGCCGCTGCCATCGCAGCACTTGACCCAGATTCGATTCCGATGGTGAAGGAAACGTGGCCGAGCACGTCCTGCTCCCGGGAGAGGAGCAGCAGGAGGAGGAAGGATGGGGGGCGGGAGGGAGCGCAGTCCCAAGCCCCCGGTGGGAATCGGGAAGGGAAGCAGGGATGCACAGCGGGCGGCAGGGATGGCTCACGGCGCCCGGCGCTGCCAGGGACGGGCTGGCCGCCTTCCCACGGGGCTTTTCCAGGCAGGAGCGTGCCCAGCAGGACAGGGGCCAGCTCGTTCCGGCTCGTCACCAATATATATCCATATATTTGGAAACTTCCCTTTGTGCCACACAAACAGTTTCGCCCAAACATTTCATTAGCACGTCCGGAAAAGCCCAAATAAAAGCTGCAGCCGGCAGCTCCGGGGAGCTGCCTCCGCTTGGCTGCTGCCCTGGAAGCGGGAATTGCCCCCTGGCCGGCGGCACGGGGGGCACGCCGGGATGTCTGGAAGGCGGGAGGGAAGCCGGACACTCACCATTTTCCGCTGGCACCACTGGCAGATCCCGCAGAGGACGATGGTGACGCTAAGGCTGACGGTGATGATGGCTGAGACCAGGAGGACGTCGCGGGAGGGGGTCCCTGCGGGGAGCACAGCACAAAGTGGGGGAGTCAGACCTAAATCCTGGGGTTTTCCTGGAGTGCGCCCGGGTACAGGGAGGGAAAACACAGGAAATGTGGTCCAGCAGGCTCCAGCCCCATTGTGCAGTGTCCCGTCACGGCGGCCACTCCCTTGGCTTCTGTCACGGTGGCCACTCCCTTGGCTTCTGGGCTCCCAGTGAGTGTGTCCTGGGGGGAATCCGGCCCCGAGAGCTTCCCGGGAGCTCAGGTTGGAGCTTTAATCCCCACTGGCACCCTGGGAGCGCTGGCATGGCCGGCAAAGACCAGGGCTGCTGCTTTGTGAGCCAATCCCACATGGATTCACCCCAAACGGCAGCGTAGACCCGCTCCTCCCCAGCCTGGCCGTGGGGGCGACCTTGGGGACCCCAAAAATGTGGGAAGGAGACTCATCAACCTCATCCAGCACTTCCGCTCGTGTCCGTGCTCCCAGTGTGCAGAATGACCATGAGAACACGGACCCAAGGTGGCTCAGAGGGGTCCAGTGGGACCCCAGACCGGCTCACCTTTGTCTCCAGGCAGGACCCCCGGCACAGCATCCCTGTGGATGCTCCGCATCCCGCCGTGCCCGCTGGGATGGGATTGTCCGTGGTGGGAGCCCCAGCTGGCGGCGGGAGGCGGCGAGGCCGGAGCAGCGCCGGGAGCGGTGCTGCAGTATAAATATTAAACAATAAATGTTAATAATTAATTCGCCCGCAGACCTTGTTATTGTAACGAAATTTCCCGGCGGCTCCGAGGCCGGGGTGAGTCAGAGTGGACCGGGAGGGGGGGATCAGGGCTCTGGAATCTCCCCTGGCACGTGCCGAGGCACCCACGGCTCCCACATCCCCGCTGGAATCAGACGAGGAAAGGGGATGGTGACCATGAAAGGGTGATTTATAAAAATTCCTTGAGGAGACGAGGGTGGGATGTGATGGGGGTGGTTTTGGGGACAGGTCCCCCCTGCAGCACCCGCGCTCTCTCCATCCAAAGGCAGCTCTCGGATCACGAGGAGCCTGTGTATAAAACTCACATAGCAACTGTTGCCTAGGAGGGAATTTGGGACCAGCCCTTAATTTCCAACATTTATAAACCCCGGCTGGATAAGCTGCCGGGGGAATGGGAAGCAGCCGGCACCGGAGAGCGCCGGGCACCCCTCCTCGCCTGGGAGCCCGACCAGTTCAAGTGGCACCGGGGCTTACTGGGCGGACTGGGAATTGGGATGAGCCCTCCTCGTCCCCACGCTCGGTGCTCCCTGCGCCAGCTTGGGAGCACCGTGACCCCTCTGGCTTAGCCCGGAGCTCCAACAGATCCTTCAGTCCTTGCGGAGTCAAGTTCATCCTCAAATTAATCTGGAGAGAAGGAATCAAAGGAGAAGGCGAGGGAAGGGGTGGGCACCACGGCCGTGGCAGTGTCCGGAGAGGGACATCAGTGAGCGCCGGTTCCCGGGGCCAGATTCCCCTTGCCAAGGTGCCACCACACCCCCAAACCTGGTGTCACCCCACGATCCTGATGGATTCACCAGCGGGATCCTGCCTGGGGGGCTCCAGGGGGGTGTCCCTCTGCACGGGGTGGGTCCTGCCCTTCCCGGTGGGATCACGCCGTGTCCCCAGGGCGGGGGGGAGCCATTCCGGCCCCCAGGCTGCGCCGCCCTCAGCATGACTTAAATGACTCGTTTTCCAGGCAATTAGCACTCGGTTAATTAAAGACTCGGAGCCGCTCGGAGTTCCTGGCGCGTCCCCAACCCTGGGGCGCGGTGTGGGGGTCCCTGTGCCGGTTGGGATGCGCGGCACGGGATGCCCTGGGGCCGGTGGATCCAGGGGGGACGCGGGGAGCTGCGTGACACCGGGACACAGCCCCGGGGGCGGGTGACAAGGTGAAAACGCGACGCTTGTTTACGCCGCCGCTGGCCCTCCTTCCCTGCCGCTCTCCATAAATCTCCGCGGCTGCCAGCGCGGATCCAGGCGGGAGCGTGGAGACGGAGAGGTGAGACTTGAGGGCCCGCGGCCCTGCGGTCCCTGCGGCCATGTCCCAAATCCCGGCGGCCCTTCGCTGGTCCTGCCTCATCCCAAGGGCACAGTGAGGGGGGCCCACGAGGCGCAGACCCCACCTCCCTCCTTGGAGGGATCGAGGTCCCAATCCCGTCCCACGTGCTGGCAGAGCAGGGGATGCTGCGGAGGCTGGGAAGGGGGTGGAACATCCCTGCGGCTCTTTCATCAGGATTCAATGCCACTTGACGGGCTATAATTCCACTTTTCCAGGCCGTTATTGATGAGAGGATTACCTGCCTCCTTAGCGCCGCATCTCTCCAGCGTGGGATTTGTGCGGTGCTGCGTGAGCCAGGGAAGAGGGTCCCTGTTCCAGGGGGAGAGGGCTCTGGAGCCAGGCAGAGGGTCCTCATGTCAGGGGAGAGGGTCCTTGTGCCAGTGGAGAGAGTTCTGGATTCAGAGAAGGGTCTCCATGGCAGATCTAGGACAAGCTGGGAACCCGCTGCACCCTTCACAGTGCCCACTTTGGAGTGGGAGACCGGGAATGTTTAGGAGACAGGGATGCAGTCACGTGCCTATCCTGCTTTATCCGCCTATCCTCAGGATTAGCTGCCTCTGGAGCACGAGCGGGCTCCGGCCTTTGTGGATGTGAGGAAACACTTCAAACCCGACCCCGGCACAAGGAGAGGCACGGAGATCCAAGAGGGATTAGTCCTCTCCAGCAGCGTGGGAGCCGGAGATCCAGCAAGATGCGCCCGAAGCAGGGAGGAGCTGCCGGTGCTGACAGATCTGACCCACGGCTCAGCTCCGGAGTGTGCGGGAGTGATGGAGGTGGGAGCCATGGCACAGCCCATTCCAGGGACACCCAGAAGTGTCCCTGGGCATCCTGGTGGCCCTGGGCATCCCGATGAGGCCGTGCATCTTGATGGTCTTGGGCATCCCAGTGAGCCTGCACATCCCAGCATTCCTGTGCTTCCTGGTGGACCTGGACATCCCAGTGATCCTGTGGATCTCAGTGATCCTGTGCATCCTGGTGGCCCTGTGCATGCCAGTGATCCTGTGGATCTCAGTGATCCTGTGCATCCTGGTGGCCCTGTGCATCCCAGTGATCCTGTGGATCCCAGTGATCGCTGACATCCCAGTGATCCTGTGGATCCCAGTGATCCTGTGCATCCTGGTGGCCCTGGCACCTTGGTGTCCCTGTGCATCCCGGTGTCCCTGTGCACCCCAGCAGCCTTGGACACCTTGGTGGCTTTGTGGTGCTGGTGGCCCTGTGCACACTCAGCTCCAGGACAGGCATCGCTCGAGCCCGGCGCAGTGAGACCTTCAGGCTCATGGGCAGCTCCACCCATTTTCCTCCCAATTCCCTGTTTCCCTGTGACTATCCCAGGATTCAGACCCATCCCACAGCTCAGCCATCAGCTCCAGCCAACGCCCATGGCCCTGGAGCAATGCTGGGAAGGCAAAGCTCCTGCAAGGGGCATCCAGGGATGGCTCCAGCTCTCCCAAACGGTAGCTCCTGCACAGGATGGAGAGGCTGGAATCTCCATGGAGTGCCAGAGGCTTTGGATGAGCAAAAGCTTTGGAACAAGCCTCACACTTGTGGCACCACGGCTGGAACTGACCTCTCTGCAGGTGTCCCAGTGAGGATGGCCCTGTCCAGGCTCTCAGGGCCCTATTTTTTAATCCAGACCGTAAAATTCCCAGCTTTTGTGGACACTGCATCTCCCTGGCAGCTGCTCAGTATCTCAGTCCTATCTCCTGGAGCATCCTCCCACTCACCCTGTTCCAGCGGTGAGATCCATGGATGCCAAGTACCCTGGGGGGGAAAATCAAAGCTGTGGGGAGCCCCCCCCAGGCCAGGCTCCCACTGAGCTCCCTGGAAATGGTGATCAAAGCCGACATCCACAGCTCCACATGGAGAAATGGCTCCATGTGCCAAGGCACCAAACCGGCAGCGGAAACGCGTGCATTCCCGGGAAAAGGGCAGCGGGAGAAGGTGCCAAGCGAGCAGCGCATCCCCCCCACCCAGCATTCTACCGTGCGCTGTCATTGTGAGCTGTGGAGCCAGAGCGGGATGTGACGCCAAGCCTGGATGGGCACGGTGGTGCCGGGGTGGAGCTATGGGATGGAAAGGGATAGGGCAGGAATGTGGCGTCGGAGCAGCCCCTCGTGCTGCTGGGGTGGAGGGCCACACGGCTCCGAGCGAGGTGACCACGTTGTCACGCCGGGGCTTCCCAGATGCTGCCTGCCTGGCGCCAGGCCATTAATTCCTCCTCTTCTCATCCTCCCACTCATTTGCTCGATATTTCCCAAACCTCTTATTTTTAGGATGCAGCTGAAAAGCTGTGAATTTGCAGCTTTTGCTCCTGTGCAGGATCTCGGGCACGGGGCAGGGGGAAGCGGGGCAGGACCCCGGTGGGCACAGCAGGAACGTGGAATCCAAGCCCTTGGCACAGGGAGAGGGAGAAGGGATGGGCAAGGAGGGGGATGAGGCTTTGCTGCCATCCCTGGTAACAACCCAGTGGGCATTTCGGGAATGCTGTGAGCCAGGCTTGGCGTGTCACGTGGAAGAGCCGGAGGGCTGGGCCAGCTGGGTCCGGCGGTGCCACCTGACCACGTGCTCCTGTAGATGTGAGGGATCATCGGAAGCCCCATGGCCATCCCGCTGCCCGGCAGGATCCTGGGATGAGCCTCGGGGGAGAGGAGTGGTGCCACAGCTCAGCACCCCAGGAGTGCTCTGGGCGAGAACATCTTCTCTCCATCTGTCTGTCTATCCGTGCGTCCCCCTCTCCAACACATCCATCAATCTCTCCATCCATCCATCCATCCATCCATCCATCCATCCATCCATCCATCCGTCCATCCATCCCTCGTACACATCTGCCTCTCCATCCAGCCATCTGTCCATCCCCCGGAGCTGTCAATCCAGCTGGCTCTGCCTCCCCCACGCCGGGCTGCTAGTCCTGGGGGGCTTGGGATGGCAGAGCCTACCAATACTGGCCCCACCATGGGGGGCTGGGGGAAGTGAACACCGTCCCAAAATACTGCACAGCTCCGGCTGGATGCTCCCAGAACATTCCCTGTCCCCACCAGCTGCCATGCAGGGATGTGTCCCTCCTCTGTCCCCTCCAGCCCTGACGCCACCAGTCCCCATTCTGCGGCCACAGCAAGTGGGAGCTAGGGACGGAGGGAGAATTTGGCAAGGGAAGGCGCTCCTTCCCTGGTGCCGGGCTATTTTTGGCCGAGGATTTCCGGAGAGCTGTGTGGCTTCTCTGCCTCGTGGTCCCCACTGCTTCTCTCTTCCCAAGGAGCACCCAGAACCCCGGAGCCCCTTCCGTTCCCGCGGTTTGCATCCATCCCAATCCCCATCTCCATCTCCATCCCCCTCCCCATCCCCATCCTCATCCCCATCCCCATTCCAACCCCTGCTCCCGAGAGGACGCTGCTCATCTGCTGGCCAGGCTGGTGCTCCACATCATCCCTGCTTCAAAATGAGCCCTTGGGCATCGCTCCCCACCCTGGAGTCACCCCAGCCCCCTTTCCCTTGGCGCAGGATCCTCTCCTGGAGCTGGCAGCGGGCACGGAGGA